AGAGAACAATAATCAGAGTAACGCTTCAGAACTTCCGTGCCTTAGTTCACCATGCCCAGCCATGCAAGAACAGACGATGGTTATCTAAGCCTTCCTATAGGTGCATATAGAACATCTAACTCTTGAACTCCATTGGACCACAGAAACCAGCATGTTCTGCACATCATCTGCCAGAACAAATGGCTTGCTCAATCCTCCTAATTACAATACTAAGACTATCACCACTTTCCAAAGCTCTGACAGCAGCTCGATGAGCATGCCTGTGCCATTTAAGCACGTTGAAAGACAGTAGAACAGACCACATAGCTTGATTTGAAATCTTCTCAAGGTAATGAAAACCAGTAATTAGCATCTTTTCTCTCTCTAGGTGAGAATAATTAGTACCTATTAATGGAGTAAAGGCATGAAAATAGATAGTTGCATATTTACTGAGCTACAGACAATGGCAGTTGCAGAAGGACACAGATGCTGTGAAACATGTTTTCATCATTCTCTCCACCCTCAGCCTCACCACAAACCAGAGCTTCAGCAGCAATACCAGCAAAAAGCACCATGCAGTACCTGATCATATAATCATGCATCAGTATAATCAATACTAGCAGAAAAATATTCCTGATATGCATTTTTGCTAATGACGTATTTACTAACAGCCTTAAGAGAGAAGAACATGCAATGCACTTCTGCAGAGTGCCTAGAAGAATAGTTTATTTTAACTCCTGTTTAGACAGATTTATTCCACTTGAAATATCAGTGATCATAATTAGAAACTAATGGAATTATAGACCTTTTGACCTGATGCAGCACAAGTAAAGAACAAATAGATTGAGAGTAATAGAAGAAGATGTTGAAAAAGAGATTGAAAAAAGGGAAGACCTAAAAGGAACGAGAATTAGAAACAAGAATTTAGGTCGGGAAACTTTCTTAGAGTTTGTAGTCAGTATTTCCAAAAACTGACCGTCAAATACATGATGAATAACAATCTGTAAATCTACTAATTTTAGTAAATGAAATAAATATAATTTGGATGCTAAACTTACATTTAAGGCAAGAATATCTAAATCTTTTAGGCAGCATCAAACGTCAGAGACACCACCTAGTGATACCAACCTATCAAAGGTAGAGCCACTCAATCGTCCCTTAGCCAGCTCATTACTCATTTTCTCATCCCAAAACTGAGTTCCAGCCAGTAGAAAAATGCTGAGTTTGGGCCTTTATAACTTCCATAAACTAAAGGTGTCAACAAGAGATTATATTGCTTAAGAATCAAACAGCATACAGCATGCAGTTTGATTTACTTTACAAAAATGCTTAAAGAAAAATGTAATTAAAAAAAATTCATAATGACTACCTGCCCTTGGATGCCCATCTGCATTGCAGCAATTGAATCTAAAATCACTCCATGAATTGGGCAACCCATAAGCTACACTCCAAATAAATTAGCAAAAGAACATTAGTTATGCTCGTAAGCCAATGTCATGTGCCAAGATCATTGTCAAAGAACCAGAAGACACTAAAGAGAACATCAGCCTTTTGGCCACTGCTAAACATGCAGAAATGACCATGCAAAAAGTGTCCAAATGCAGGGATTCATAGTTCAGATTTTTTATTAAAAAAAAAAAACCATAATAACATTAATGCAAGTATTACATACCAACAAGGAGGTGGCCTGCTTCATGAACTAGAATCCAGTGCCTATACAGAGGCCAGTAACTTGAGATTAAAGCTAAACATGTACCCCCAAGGAAGATAGAGTCTAAAAAGGCTAGGCACAGTATGGCAGCAAGGTTAGGCCTGATATCAATCCCTTGAGAAAGCAGATAAGAGACTCCACCCAGAAGGGCAACCAGTGCAATGCTTGAGGTTCCAGAAGAACCCCACTTTTTTGGAGAAAGGTTAGAAACTGAAAAAGGAAAAGGTAATCCATAACTATTCAATGAAATTTTACTTTTATTTTCTTAGATGAAAACAAAATGCTAGAATAACAACCACCATAAAACAACCCAATCAGAATGGAACGATATACATTATTATAATCCCAATCATCTAAAACC